CGCCAGGTAAGGTGGCACAGTATACTTCAGTATGTGATGAGTAGAGATTATTTTATTTTTCCTTCACTTCACATTGCAGTGGTGGTGGGTGGAGTGTTTCAGTTAAAGCTTGACTTGTTTTGGGTTTTTTGTAAGTTTTACATGTACGGAGATGGGTGTATATTTTTACTATCTTTAATCTTCATTGTGGCTAAAGTACTGTAGTAGATTAAATGTCTTGCCCGTAGCCTTCATACATTGACTAACAATATGGAATTTATGTTCCATAATGTATGTTCATTGCTTGCAAGTAGACATAATAATCGATTGTATGCAAGATGTGTAATCAACTTAATTTGTTACTAGCCTTGTCAAGCCAATGGTGACTACATAAAAACTGACATCTTATTTTTGTTTCTTCACAGATGAACCTTCGATGAAGATTGCTAAAACAGAACACATTGCAGTGACAGAACAGCCAACCAGACAACTCCCATTGCCAATAAATCCAAGCCAGCCACCACCTGTAGCAAACTTTCAACAACAGGTTACGTCAGCTTATGCATCTCTGCCACCTTCTCTTCCGCCTGTTCCTCAGGCAACTCTTCCCGTTGCTGGGACAACCGCTCATGATGGTCCTCCGCCACCCACTGCACAGCCGACAGCTGCTTACCCTAGTGGAAGCTACCAACAAGCTCCTGGAAGCACTGCATATTCAGCAACTCAGAGTTATCAGCCACAGCAACAACCACCACCACAGACAACTGGGTTCTCATTTCCAAATGCACAGGCTAGTCAGCCAACTGCAAGTACCAGCTATAGCCAGAAACCGGGTTATGATTATACTCAAACGCAAGCCTATGGGACTCAAGACTCGTATCCACCGAGTTATAATGCACCACCGACTCAGGCTTCATTTGGCTCGTATAGCCAAGAAAATACTAACACAAACCAGGGCAGCTATAATACTCCAACCAGACAGTATCCGACACAATATCAACAAAGTGGCCAGTACCCTGCCAATCAGAATACAGTGCCGCCTCCAAATTACCCAGCCCAGCCGCCAACACCACAGCCCCAGCACACACTACCACCGTCACAGGCTGCACCAACTACAGCACCACCCAGCTTACTTGCCCAACAGCCTTACAGCATGGCTGGCAGGGGCGGAGGAAGCACTTACCCAACAACTCCACCAAAAAACTACCCCCCTCCCCAGACTTACAACACTCCAACAAGGTACGACACTCCCCCGCCAAGTCTACCGCAGCAACAGAGAGGGGGTCCGCCAACTCCTGGTGGCATGGTGCCAGTATCTGGTGCACTGCCACCAACACCAGTAACTCCAGGACAAGTACCCCCTGGGAGCTACCCTCCTCAGGTTTGGGCACCTCGAGGACCCCCACCACGAGGACCACCTCCACCAAACACTGCAGGTAGTTTATCCAGTCTAGCCACGGTCAGAATAACTGGACGCACTGATCAAAGGCGAAGCAGTACAGGAAAAACACAGCCACCATTTTTCAGATAAAGAGCCTTGTACATATGGTATACTTTCAGATGTTTTTTTAGAAATTAAATATCTTTAAATTTGTGATAAGTGTTGTTATTTTTGAGAGCTACAACTAAGTATGCAATTTTTACTTATTATAATATCAATATGTGGATAGTGAGAAATTAATACGATTCACACAATATTACTGGTAAAAATTTTTATTACCACTTCAATGGTTTTTTATGAACATTCTTTAGTTAATAGTGACATCCGTTTTACTTGGAAGCATGAAATAACTCTTATTGCCTTAGCGAGTTATATTACAATGATGATACTGCTAGTTACTTTTTCATTTTGTTGATATATTTATTGCTGATGAATTTCAGTAGCATCAACACAATACCATTGCATTTTGGCAAAGAGCGCCACCTGGAGTGAACACTGAAACCTGAGCAGTTCGTTCAACATCCATAACAGCTTTTGTTAATCCCGCAACAAGACCATCAAATATCCCCCCCCCCCCATAATGCTATAAGAACGAACTCTGAGTGAAATGTCATTACTAGTTAGTTTTGATTTTCAAGTTGCCAAAAACTGTAGTCCACACAATAGCGTTGGAGACTTCATAATACAGGCATTATTATAATTAAACAAGTCCCTTTTTAGTGAGTGTCAACATTAATGCCAAATATTTAACTTGTGTAACAGATATGATACAAAGTGGATCCAGTTATTTGTATGATTCCTTCCTTTATTCTGCCCATGACATTTGCATTTCTAGCATGTGCAAATATGTTATATGATCAGTCCAGCCATGTTAAAAACAAAATGATGTGTCCGTGCACAACTGAGATACAGTTTTATGATTTTTTTAACACTTGAATTGGATCATAAAACAAATGCGTGATGTATGTGTAAATGCGATTGATCGAAGCATGTTTGAAATACAGCTGCACACAAACGAGAAATTTTAAGTCCTAGCAGGCACTAAAAACTGCATCAGCAGGCAATATCATTTTATAGCGTTGGAGGTAAAATTCAATGTTATGATGCTTGATGTCTTCTCTGTACTGCCTTGTCCTTATGGAGAAAGTGTAAAGGGAAGACTTTCCTCTGTCGTGTATGTCCTAATGAATTGGAAAAACTGCATCGACAGATGATGCGTTAAGAACTGGCTTGTTACAAATTTCCTATAGACAAATGTTGATACATTTAGAAAACATTAAAAAAAATGGACGATATCAAACCATATACATTAATTAATAATAAAAATTTAAAAAGTGACAATAATATAAATAATTATAGTATAACACATTTATACTATTGATAGTTGAATTGATACACCCCACTATGTAACAATCAAGGCATTACTGTATTGGCAGTTTGACGAAGCACCAGGAAATACCCACACACATTCCAACTTCTTTAAATATTTTTTGTTTCTTAAAAAAAAAAAAGTTTATAAGTTTACTTCAGCCTTGTTTATAAGTTAAAGGTATTGCACATGTCTGCTCCAGCATTTAGGGCCTCTAGCATCGTCCGCAGTGTAGGAAATGTGTCGTGCATTTTGGGCAGTGATGACAGGTTTATGGTTGACCTGCAAAGCAAGCAAATGAGTTGAAATAAGCAGCTGGAAGACAAAATATATGAGCAATTGAATTTAAACTGGCTCTGATTTGATAATTTATCTTGTGAAATTGCAACAAGCAGCCTCTCGGCTGAGATAGCTCCGTTGTTAGCAAGGCACATTTCAATTAAAGAACTGAAGATATTATTAGAAAATGAACAATATGTATAAGTATGTATAGCAATTGGACTTGCTGTTTTCAACAATAATTCAAAAATATCACTTTTTACCAAAAATGACATAAATATTCATCAAAATTAGAGAATTAAATATATCATCACGAAATGAACAAATCTGAGAAGGGTCCACATGTAGTACTTATATATGTAATATCAAAGCAATCGGACTTGCGGTTTTTAACAAGAAGTCAAAAATATCATTTTTTACTAAAAATTACAAAAATATTCACCAAAATTAGAGAATTGAAGATATCATCACGAAATGAACAAATCTGAGAAAGGTCCACATGTAGCATCTATATATGCAATATCAAAGCAATTGGACTTGCGGTTTTTAACAAGAAGTCAAAAATATCACTTTTCACCAAAATTAGAGAATTGAAGATATCATCATGAAATGAACAAATCTAAGAGAGGTCTACCCCAGGTACATACACACCAAGTATCAAAGCATTCAGGCTTGTAGTTTTCAAGAATAAGTCGAAAAAGTAAAACATTGACACGGACGCCGACGGACAATCACTCATATGATAAGCTCCGCTCGACAAAGTCGACAGCGGAGCTAAAAAACTAGGGGGTATCTTCATGCTAGGGAGTGTGCCTTATATTTTACTTGAAAAGCAATCTTCAATGATATGTAAAAAAATTTTTGTCATGCATAAATGGAAGCCTAGCAACCAGAAAACTCCAAAGTCTGTTCATTTTAATAAGTGGCACTTTTATGTAGATTTCATCGTACCTCTGCAAGTTCATCCAACTTTTCACCATTGCTATAAAAGCATCTGGATTCCCTGTTAACATGGCTTCCAGGTCCACCAGTTTACCTTTGGCTATTTTACCGGACACTTCTTTACCAGCAGCCATTGTCAGCCCCATGGCAACGCTGTACGCTACAACACTGAACAGAATAAAACACAGGTACATTATGTGTTTTGAAGAGGAATGCCAATGTTACCAGTACAAGACAATTGAGTAGCTGTGCTGTTTTAAATATCATTTACAAGATACTTAAATGACCTGTACCGATCCAAAAAATGTTGAATGTACACAGATCCAATTGCAATAACATATTTGTACTTTTGTTTTACTGATGCTTCACTATTTGCTAAATCACCCAATCTTACCTTGACCCTCTAGACAGAGGCATTAAATTATAAAAATAGTAAACCAATGATAAAATGAGGTTGATCACTGCATCCATGTGTACATCCTGTAAAAAAATTATATTTGAAACAATGTACATTCGGTAAATAAACACTCAAAGAGATGGATTCAACCACAAGACACTGACCAGTTTCACAACATTAGTGAATTAGGTATTTTGCTAAAATCACAGTTATTAAAAAGTGTACATGTACTGTATTTGCTCTATTAGATACACTTATTTTGACCATAGAAACACCTCTATAACTTCAATAAGTTTAAACGCTACTAATGGAACATATACGATATGCAGCAATAATTGTTCTTTACATTTGCTATAGAGAAACACAAATGTATTACATTTCATTTCTACACAAGGACCAAAAAAGAAATCAAGGTTTCGCTTCTCATCCAAAACAACATAAGCTCAGTATAGTGTCATTACATATGCATATCTCACCATATCTTTACTCTGTCCTTTCCTTGCTTCTTCTGTTAACAGTCCCCAGATATACTCTAGCTCTGAATGGTATTGCTCTGTTCGTTTCTTGGTAGTAGCGGTATCAATTGAGAACAAGATGCCATTTCTATCGAGAACAAAAAAAAAATACTTGAACTATTATCCCTGTCATTTCAGCTGAATACAAAGACACTTTTTAAAGTGTGAAATATTTAATTTCACTATTTTAGACATCTACGGTAATTTTCTATTTTTAAATAATATAAAATTAGTAGATTTCACTAAGCAAAAAAAAATGAAAATGAAGTAAATAAATAATCTGGCCAACTTCTCAAATAAAACAATGTGATTAGTCTGCAATAAAAAATGGTTTGTTTTTTCACCACAATTGTGAATGCACTTATGTGTATTGTAACATTTTGTAGCATTTGTCAGGTGATGTGTCTGTGTATAAATTTGCATATCTAAACAAATGCCAGCCAATCACAGCCTGCTATTCAGCTCTACTAAAACCACAGTGAGTTTGATCCAATCAAAAAAGACTACACATACCCATCACCTGTCATTGTAAACATGACACCATCATAACGCTGACTTTTATCTTTCCTACTATTAAGCTTTGTAGCCACCATAAATCCAGGTCCTCCATTTCGATTTCCTTTAAGTTTTTTGACAAATTTCAGGAGTTCTTCACACGTCGTTATCTTGTCTATTGTGCTTAGAATCTCGCGTTCTGATCTACGGTGTCCATTGCCGTTTACACTGTCAACAACAGACGAATAAATATGCAAAAACTACGTCATGAAGTGTGCTTTCAAACGCATGATATATGAATCAGCAATAACTGTCATCAAAAATGTCACAAACAGGATAGAAAATTGTGATAAACTTGAGCATGCATTTCATGTAGACTTTTTTTCCTAAGAAGTAATGAACAACCATCAGCAGAGAAGTATGATCAACTGGTAACACTGGTTTCAGCTGTTGATCACACTGCCGATCACCACATACAAAGAATGATATTGCTTCGTTGTCAGGCGATATTGAGTCAAATTCGGCTCGAACAGCCTGAACTGAACTTAATAAGAAACGTAACTTAAAAACAGTGATGTCTACTAAAAATAAAAGTATTTATCATACCAGTACGTACAATTATGTTGGTAAAATTCAAATAAATAAATGAAATAGACGACTACATACCCATACTGTGCCACCATCTTTTTAGTGACATTAAAAACCACATCAAAATACTTTGTATATCTCACGTTGTTTACCTGCCCTCTGACCAGATGCATATGACTATTAAAACCAGCTTGTATACTTTTACTGGGCATCAAATCTAACCAGAGCACAGGCTGATCAGGATCTATAACCCTAGAAAAAATAACAAAAGTAAATGGTGATTGTGCTGGTTGATGTATTAATATTCAAAAAAATTATGTATTTATGAAATTATTTGTTTTTTTAATGAAATAATCCCGATATTTGAGTAGTCTTTACAATGGAATAACAAATCTTCCTTATCTTGTTGACTTTCACATATCTGGCATTTTCTCTTTAACAAAATACTGAGTAGCACATGTGATGACAGGTAATTTAGTTCATTATACATATAGGGTAGGTCAGGTTATTCCATTTTAAGTAAAATGATTGGTTGATTGGGATTTTTAAAATACCTCCCATTTAGATAATAACATTTAATAATGTTATGATGAGTTACGTATGTACACGCTTTATTACATAACACTTGCTGTTTTGGTGTTATCAGTGTCTTTTATTAAAACTTGGGTTAGACCCATTATCAAAATAATATTTATAGACCACTTGTGACATTTAATAATATCATGCACTTCTATATCATCATGACTTTATGTACCCAAACTTGAACTTGAGTAAAGAAATTCCAAACTCACCTTCTCCATTTGACAGCAATGTCAAAGATCTCCCGCCATTTTCTACCAATCTGGTTTTTTGATATTTTCGAAGCTTTCCAGAAATGTTGAATGGTTTGGGCAATCTCGATGACTGCCAACCCCATGGCAAGGTGGACACGTACATTGGGCAGAAAACCGTCTGCTTCATACTGCATCATTGAACCCACGCTGGAAGCCGTACATATTAGGTTCTGCACATCTGCTGGCAAGTCATCAAAATCTAACACTTCTACGTCACTGTGAAACAAGTCCAACATAAAAGTTACACAATCGGCATGAGAAATGAATCAGTTTGCACATAAGCACATTATAGATTTTATTCATCATGAATATTCATATTATATTCTAATACTATGCAAATGAGATGATTTGTCAAGGATACTTTGAAAGCACGTAAGAGTATTTTACAAAAATTTTATTCTAGCTAGAAAGATATATAGGTGCCCTCTATTAACATTGATTACCAAACTTTGATGGTGTTATGTGACTCATCAAAAGCTATTAACTTCAGAAGATAGTTATTTGTGAAATATTCCCATAGTGCATTTTTTGGGAGAGTTAAAATTATTAAAATGTACATCATTTATTGAGATTTCAAGAATATTTTCATAAAAATAATTTGGTGACAGTGGATACATTTTCTTTTGAGAACAAGTGTAGTGAAAAGTCTCGTGGCCAAGGTCTGTTCATGCTACTTCTCAAAACTAGGAGCAAAGCTAAAAGTGGTGATAATCTTACAAAAATAGAAAGACATGTTACACTTGAAAATCTTATATTTCACACAAAAAAATTGTCCCCTAATTTTTCTGATGCCAAATAGGAATAGCGCCCTCTATCAGCAGTGATGAAAAAACCTAAACTTTTATTTTTTATTTTATTTTATAATCTGATTATACAAAAAATCCTTCAATTACGGGATGAAAAAGACAAAAACTAGTGGTTGAACTAGAATGTGCTAGAATATAGGAAATAAAAAAGCAGGGAGCATAAGGCAATAACAGGAAATGCGGAGATCAATATATATACATGTACATTGTATATATTGATTTACAGTAAATGTATTTAAATTAATCCAATTTTTAAACCACTTACTTAATTTCAGGTGATAACCCTGGTTGTTCCTCATAGCCAGAATATTTAAATGGTAATCCCTTTGCCCAGTTATCCTTATAAGCCCCTTGTAAATCTAAATCCATGCTGTATTCAGCAACCGGTGTGTCTAATCTGGCATGTAAATAACGCGAGTATTCTGAAAAAATTAAAAAGTGGAACAATTCTTTGAGTAAAATATCAAGCGACCTGGTCGTTTATTTTTGTTTATATGTGACATTTTCAGCCTCATGTACAAGTATTACGACCTTTTACGGACGATATCTCTTCACAAATGTAATTGATTGTGATAATTGTGGCATGAAATCACTGCTGTAATATTAGTTGTGACATATACAAAATGAATTCAATCTAGGGGTTATGTAATGACCTTAAAAGCCAGTAAAAAACGATTTGACAATAACTAATGTTATATATTACAAAGGTCACACTTTAAATGTCCTTTTGACACGGGGAGGGGGGGGTTCAGGAAACTCTTCTCATTCCTCAAATGATCATTTCCATTAAATATGGAAGTAATGATCACGCATCGATGGACACAAAGCTTGTCAGCGATTTTTTCATCATCTGTCTGCAGACTTCATAGCTGACCTTTTCCATTTCTGTCAGTGACCCAAACGCGATTGTTTTTCTAGCTTTGCTCTCCAGTTTTGCAGACACGTGTTGCAGGCATGGCAGCGGTGACAAATATGAAGAGGTGAGGATGTCCTCATTATCCAAGGATGGATTGACAACAGCCTCCATAACAAGCTTTACATGACTTGTCTACGATAGAGACTGGTTCATTTACTGAAGACATAAAACCATGACATGTTTTTGCAATTTGCAGTCAGATTGATGCAGTTTATACTTTAAATGATTAAGCATTTATTATTATTAAGCATTGTGTTATTCTAACGTACAAGTATATGCAAAAGTAGAAGATTCATTATTATGATGAATGTTTGAATACACTTTTGTATGATCAGTTGAAATGATGTTATTAACAGAATTTGCTATTGTAAAACATATCCATTTAGCTAGCATGTTATTTTAGCTAATTTAGCTAATCTGTAATTTTGCTAATTCAAAAGCTGATTCATGATGTCACTAATTTAAAAGAAAGTATAATCTCACAATGAGATTGTTGGAACTTCACTTAAATTAATATTCTGTTAATTTGTGCATTGAGCTAAAAGTAGCATGTGGCTATTTCACCGTATATTTAGGTGGATGGAGTTTAGCACTTTTTTTTGCCATTAGCTAGTACCCCACTCTGGAAACATGATGACGCTGATTCACACTGTAGATTGGGTTTGTAATAAGAACATCCATATTTGTTTAATTATCAAATGTACGCTAAATAACCAGATGGTTACAAAAATACAAGTACAATTAGCATATAGAATATATCTGTTACATTATAAAATCAGATACAAAACAGCATGCATACCTATTCACTGACTTATACAACACCAAGCTTGAGTGATTTTCACTGCACCAAAACACATTGGACTAAACTGTAGGTTGTTTAGTTCAGTAGTACTGTAAAATATGTATTAGAAGCCGTGACTTCTATTAAAATAGTACAATACAACAGAGGGGATGCGGCTTCTATTGGAGCACGTACACATATGAGAAATGATGAATTTTCGGTTCCAAATTGTTCAAAAAGAATGGGTGCGTCTTCTATTAGGGATGCGGCTTCTAATACAGATTTTACGGTATGTCACAGAAGGAGTCCACCTCAAACAAGTCAGTCTATGCTGGTAATGTTACAGGGCGATGGTAGTCGTGCAGCGTGTGTTCGAATTTCATGCAAACAAACAATGTATTTTACACATGTTGGGTACGTTGCTATGGGTCCCATAGGCGACACGAAAACCATCGCCCTTTAAGTAAAGAAAAGAGGCATACATCTTTCGTAATAAATAATAATAAAAAAGGATTTAGATTCTAGTGCAGTGAAACAAAACAAAAACCTTTAGAAGAAGCCAACCCCTGCTACATGCCTCCTTAACTACATATACACTGCCCTCTAGTGTCACCAAAGTGGGTATTAAAATCTCACCTCTAATGTACAGCACTCTGGCAAATTCATTGGAAGTTTTTTGACCTAAAAACGGTGGATTGGATTGCACCTTTGCGTTTGATTTCACTGCTTCATAATACTGACCAATGGAAGCGTGGGACAGCCCTCTCATGTATTCACAGGCTTCGTTGGTGGAATCAACAGACAAACATTTCTGTGGGAAAAAAAGATCAATATACGCTATTGTCTATGAAAGGAATATAAATCAGATAGAAGAGAGGGGGCAGAGTTGTTTAATTTGAGTAAGTAAGTTTGAGTAAGTGAAGATTTTTCATGTGAGAGACAATGTTTTATGTCTCTCGTCGACAACATTGTTTCGAGTCAAGACCTAGTCAAGATCATGGCAGGATGAGTTTAAACTTTTCACCACCAGTTTCCTCCTTTCATCACAAAATAGTCCCGTTTATAGTCTGCACTTTCCTTCAAAATATTGGGGAAAAAATGGGAAAATTATTTGAGTAAAAACTGAAAATAACTCAAATTTTGCCTGTTGGATCCAAAATTAGGGTTCATTTCCAGAAATATTGAAGAATATTAGAAAAAAGTTTAGAAAAATTTGGGCGAGATAGTTTGGTGGTGAAAAGATTGACAATAACTGAAAGTAGCTAATTCTTGAGGCGTACACAAATTCAAAGGTCAAAGTTGTATTCATCCATGTAATTATCCATCAGACAGACAGACAGACAGACAGACAGTTCACAGAATGAACGAATTGATAATCTTATCAGCAATCACTCTATTGCTGTTAATTATCATCACCTGTACTTCTAAACTGAACAGTGAAATCAGCCAGAAATGTAGCATGGCCGAATGTTTTAAGCATGTTTCTTTTCCCTTGATTTCAAGTTTCGATTGCGTTTTCAAGTCAGCAAGCAAGCTTGGAATGCTGAATTATCATTCCACTTCATATTATACTTCATACATAGCAGAATATAAAATATTCTCAAAGTATTTTCTTACATTGAAATCCTTGAGAGCTTCAAGGGGTCGTCCGCTCTGATATAGCAAGGATCCCCGCAGTTGAAGAGACTGAACATGATCTTCTTGCAAACTTAAAGCTGTATTAAAATGTTGCATAGAAGTTTCAAAGTCCCCGAGTTCTCTGCAGATAGAACAGCCTGTCAACTATGTTTATTGTCTAAAGCATACCCGTCAACATGAATGGACCACATAAAATATTGAACGAAAAAATTTTAATGAGAAATGAATTGTTCAATAATTTTCTGTTTGTACATGTAGTATGTATGACAGCAGTCGAGACGCTTGGATTGTGTCTGTAAGGTTGCACAGTGTTGGTATCTATAAAACGTTGATATCTGCGTGGCGTTGTATGGTGTATGCACGGTGTCAGTATGGTGTTCACACAGTGTCAGTACGATGTCAGTATGGTGTTCACAAAGTGTCAGTACGATGTCAGTATGGTGTTCTCACAGTGTCAATACAATGTCAGTATGGTGTTCACACAGTGTCAGTACGATGTTAGTATGGTGTTCACAGGTGTCAGTACGATGCCAGTATGGTGTTCAGTGTCAGTACGATGTTCACACAGTGTCAATACGATGTCTGTATAGTGTTCTCAGAATGTCAGTACAATGTCAGTATGGTGTTCTCACAGTGTCAGTACAATGTCAGTATGGTGTTCACACAGTGTCAGTACGATGTTAGTATGGTGTTCACAGGTGTCAGTACGATGTCAGTATTGTGTTCACAGTGTCAGTACGATGTTCACAGTGTCAGTACAATGTCAGTATGGTGTTCGCAGTGTCAGTACGATGTCAGTATCGTGTTCACATAGTGTCAGTACGATGTCAGTATGGTGTTCACAGTGTCAGTACGATGTCAGTATGGTGTTCATACAGTGTCAGTACGTATCAGTATGGTGTTCACATAGTGTCAGTACGATGTCAGTATGGTGTTCAGTGTCAGTACGATGTCAGTATGGTATTCACACAGTGTCAGTATGGTGTTTACACAGTGTCAGTACGATGTCAGTATGGTGTTTACACAGTGTCAGTACGATGTCAGTATGGTGTTCATACAGTGTCAGTACGTATCAGTACAGTGTACGCACAGTGTAAGTACGATGTCAGTATGGTGTTCACACAGTGTCAGTACGATGTCAATATGGTGTTCACACAGTGTCGGTATGATGTCAGTATCGTGTTCACACAGTGTTAGTACGATGTCAGTATGGTATTCACACAGTGTCAGTACGATGTCAGTATGGTGTTCATACAGTGTCAGTACATATCAGTACAGTGTTCACACAGTGTAAGTACGATGTCAGTATTGTGTTCACACAGTGCTAGTACGATGTCAGTATGGTGTTCATACAGTGTCAGTATGTATCTGTATGGTGTTCACATAGTGTCAGTACTATGTCAGTATGGTGTTCAGTGTCAGTACGATGTCAGTATGGTGTTCATACAGTGTCAGTACAAATCAGTAGTGTTCACACAGTATCAGTACAATGTCAGTATGGTGTTCACACAGTGTCAGTACGATGTCAGTATGGTGTTCACAGTGTAAGTACGATGTCAGTATGGTGTTCATACAGTGTCAGTACGTATCAGTACAGTGTTCACACAGTGTCAGTACAATGTCAGTATGGTGTTCACAGTGTCAGTACGATGTCAATATGGTGTTTACACAGTGTTAGTACGATGTCAGTATGGTGTTCACACAGAGTCAGTACGATATCAGTATGGTCTTCACAGTGTCAGTACGATGTCAGTATGGTGTTCACACAGAGTCAGTACGATGTCAGTATGGTGTTCACACAGTGTCAGTACGATGTCAGTATGGTGTTCACACAGTGTCAGGACGATGTCAGTATGGTGTTCACATAGTGTCAGTACGATGTCAGTATGGTGTTCACACAGTGTCAGTACGATGTCAGTATGGTGTTCACACAGTGTCAGGACGATGTCAGTATGGTGTTCACATAGTGTCAGTACGATGTCAGTATGGTGTTCACACAGTGTCAGTACGATGTCAGTATGGTGTTCACACAGTGTCAGTACAATGTCAGTATCATGTTCACAGTGTCAGTACAGTGTTCTCACAGTGTAAGTATGGCATCAGTAAGGTTTTCACAGTATCTGTCTGCCTGATGTTATTTCTCATAAGAAGTGTGATTGTTACTGATTACCAACCTGTATGCATGTCCAAGACTTCTTCTACAATCCACACACAGAGGTTCTAATTTTAACGTTGTATTAAAAACTTCTATTGAATCCTGAAAAGTACTCGATTCATATTAAATACGTCAGTTCATTGTTTAACATTACAACTCACTGATTTACAAATTTCCGTTTAAAAATGTTCATCATCGAAATTGCCTCTCAGAAAATCAGAAAATTTATTGAGAAAACATATAAAACCTAAAAATGGTTTAAATGTGACTGATTGGATTTCAGATATGCATTAATAATCTAATTTTTTTGCGAAGGTATTTGTTTTGCTATTTAATCCAATCTGCTCACCCTCAGAAAATCTACCAAATAGTACATTTGAAAATATAAACAGTTTTATAACAAAACTGGCATTTTTGGTTTTTCAAAATTAAAATCAGTGATACAGTACTTTTTATTGGATCTTCAACATTTACCCTACATCGAGATCATTGATTTATTTACTTGTTTGAGTTTTTGTGATTAGTCAGTGGTGTTTATGGTAAACCAGCTAGGAACTACACTCAGAAATACTCGTAACAATCGTTAACTCCAGTGAATGGTCAGAGAACCAGTACGATTCAATCATACCAGTCAGAAATAGAAGTAGATACTTATAATATGCTGGATTCCAGAAATGTGCAACACTCTGTAATCACGACATTGTATTTTAGGGTCAACCATAGTAGAACGATACCGCAAATATAAAACAGTATCATTTCTGTAATTGCGCATGTTTCAGATTCATTGTACTATTTTTAAAGTATTTTGTAATTTATTCAATTTTAAGTATGCCAGCGAGATGAACTTTGTGTCAAATAGTGAGAAATTGACTGTGCATATAAAACAATGTTAATTGCATATTTTGCAAAATAATATTTTCTACTTTTGGATGTACACCAGCAAACTTTGGTCAATCGTTGGTTTAAAATCAGTAATAACATAAATAGATTTATGGTTTTATGGATAGGTTTGGGGCATCACAAATATTGTGATAATTCTACAGACCAAAATGATTCAAGCATGAATCAACTTTTTCAGAAAAGAAATTAATCAGGCTGCTTGACATCAACAACCCCCATTGTGATTGGAAGGCCTTTAATCAGAATCTTATTCTAAAACTTCTCCGGAAGTATGCATAGGATTTTTTTATTGACTGAAACATCATAGTTTGCATACGTCAATCTCTCATAACTGCTGTATCTCGTTACATTTACAACAAGCGATAATGCTAAAATTGTACACCAAACCATTGGAAAATACTCTAGATGAGACGTTTATTGTGAACTCTGACCTCACTGAGCATGTTAAAATTTAATCACAATTCAAGTAATGTGAACGACAAATTGAGGATATTTCTTAAGACGATGAACTGAAGATGAAGAATTATAATGTCTGCATGTGATGCATTAGAAGCCATGAAAGATTAAAATTTGTCTGCAACATTTTACAAATTTTCTAAATATACTTTGTTAATTTTGGATTGATTGGACTTTATTTCTTATAACTACTACAAAAATAAAAAAAAAATGTTGGCTTCATTTTATAAGGTTACAGAAATTGACTTTGGCACTCGGAAGGTATACTGTAAATATTTCACCAAGCTGCAGAGACGAAACATATATCCGGTATCGATTAATGTGCACAACGCAACAACACATCGGACTCTCTGTCGCATCAACTATTGAAGTGACACACGTCGACGTCGGCCATACCTTTGAACTTGATTATTTTACAAATATTGAATGTATCCCATGAGACCCACATCAGATATGATGCATGGTGACGATTTAGTAAGTTAAGCAAACAATATTATTGAAATCATCACCTAAATCCAAGCTTTCAGAAAAAAAGAAAAAAAATATGTACTAATTTTCCTGGGTACTGCGGTACCTCAAGAAAATCATATTTAATAGAAACATTACTGCCACGTCAACTGCATGCAACTCTACTCTACCACTTTACATAGAACACAAGAATGCACATCACAAAGTTTCACACTGGGTGGTGTGTATGATCTCACTGTTCAACAACACTGACCTTTATTTTCCCCTGGTGGTACAGGGCTAAGCCACGGAAATGCATTATCTCCGACTGTTTGCTGTCAAGTTCCAGGGATTTCTGGAAGTCTTCCTCTGCTGCGAGATAATTCTACAAAAGGGGAATGAGTTTCCAAGTCATGAATCTAAATTCCTTTAATAGCATGAGAGTTTAAAAAAAGTACAATGAAATGAATGAAATGATGTATACATCGCGAGCGAAAACAATCGGCTACACGTGGTGAAATGAACACTATCCATGAGAGATGCATCACTGGCATCATAGTCTAGAAAAACAAAATAATATGTTGACTGACTTAAAGTTGGGCATAGCGTTCATTTCTGATATGTGTAGGTGATCAAACTGTGCATATCCAAAGCCGGATGAAGATACAAGATGTGTGTAACTTTTAGAATAATCCATGTATGGTGATTATTTAAATAAAAATCTCATTCTGTTTAAATTGCACGTACAAAAAAAAAAGTAAGTTTTCATCGTGCGAGTCCTCATCTTAATGATTCTTAATTCAAGAAGAAAAAACTTTCAAACTAGAAAACTCTTTCACAATTTCACTGTTTTGGAATCATTTGTGGTATTTTCACAGTGCACGTCACCGAAGTGACATTACCCCCCCCCCAATCTCTTTATCCAGCCTTGATGTATTTATCCGCCATCCGAAATAGAGTGAAGGTTTTATTTTGCTGAAACTCATTTATGAAATCAAGTTTATATTTTAAACTTACATGTCTGGTAAAAAATGGTTGTACAAAATGTACAAGTTAAAGTGAGACACCTTTTTATTTCGATGAGTGATACTAAGATATTGAAACAAAGAACGCAGCAATTTGATATGGGAAATATGAATTACCCATTTTGCATGTCGGTAGAATGCTGTGTTGTTGTTTGAGGGGTTGATCCCTCGGCAAAGAAAGGAGTACTAGAAGAAATAAAGGTGTACAAAAACAATACATGATGTCACAGGGAACAGAGCTGTGTATTGGTGTTGCAGTAAAAAAACTACTTATCAAAAGTAGTAGCTGATAGTTTAGATTCGCACTCTGAATATCAAACTAATTTCGAAAGTGATAACATCATTCAGACTGTTGTAGTCGTTATTTTCTTCTACTAAATAAAATAACTTGCTACCCTTACTTAGAATGGGAACAGAAGTACAGAAATAATCTTTAATAAACTTGTTGGGAGGGCTGTTGAAAAGTGAAAGTCAACTGCCCTGATGTTTTGTACACAATTTTGAGAAATTTCAATCGCTGATATATATATACATTAACACTAGATGGCAGTGTTTGGACAGGAATCCACAGACATCTTGAACTATTCACCTTCCCCTCCACTTATGACTCGGGGCAAGATACAATTCCACTGATACATTAAAAGTGCAACACACCCCCATTTTATTAATCTGAGATCAAAGTGCAAGTATTGATCATGACAAGTTTAAGTCTAATAGGTCAAAGAAGGAAATCATGATTCCTCAAGAACCAATTAGGAAAAGTTTTCCCAACTTCCAAAGTTGAGTGAAATTAGACTCATAAATAATAGACTTCAGTCATTATCCTAAATGATCGGTGAATGACAAAATCAGCAGAGTCTGGAATGATGGGAACAACTAGGATATGATTAATTCCTTCATGTACACTCGCAGAGTACAAACAGCATTTTCTGCCCGGGAATGAAATCCACACATTTTATGTGATATCGCAAAGACAATGATCACACAATGCCATCATGCAGTCAGAAATTTTAAGATTCCCTGCATACCAACAATCCGTATTATTGCATTTTTTTTTTATTCCAACAGCTTTGCATACTTCCATCCACAGCAACCAAATATTCATGGGATTCTATGCGTATTAAGAAGGAAGTCTATGCGCGAGAGAGAAATAGATAAAGCTTGATCGCTTCAGCAAGGAAGTGAAGCGTGAACAAATCTACCTTTAGAAGAACACAAGGAATTTAATTACAGATATTAAACAACATAATTGTCATTCTTATTAGGGGCTTTACATCATCTTCCACTGTGAGGACATGTACGAGTGGATTAAATCTCATTCCAGAGTGTTGTACAGAGGACATATCAGAGAAGCAACCATGCGCAAGTAATCTTTCTACACACATATACATGCATAGTGTAACAAGGTAGCTAACAACATCTGCAAGAGACTTATTGGGCTGTACCATTAATTGTAGTAGGGGTGGCATCATTCAGTGATGTCTGTTTTTGGCTTGCGTAAAATGAAAACAAAAGATATTAGGTATTCATATTTAATATGGTAATCATATTTAACTGTCAAACTTTGGTTTTCATGCTATTGCTATTTTCTTTATTTGTCCGAGTTGCAATGCATGCTCTCAAACCCGACCTCAAACTTCCACCCTTCCCATTTTCAGTAGTTATGCCCCCACCTCCCAAAAACGGGAGGGAGTGAGAGATGAAAACTGACCTTGAATATGATGAATTCAAAGCAGTTTAATGGGATCTTAAGTTACTCCCCACTAATTTCAAAAATAGGAATAAAACTATTACCTATGATCGGATAACGATATCAAGTTTAATCATAGAAGGAGTCTTGCTAATGTAATTGCAAGTATAGCTAGTTCAACTCCATGGGTTAGCAATGATGAGGGAAATTCAGTCTGGGGGTTCAGTCTATAATAATGCCTTCGAAAATGTGTAAGAACAATCCCATTCTGTGGCTGGACAGTATTAGTTCAAGTCAGCTGAAAAGATATCATAGTTATCGTCATTGCTCAAAACTAAACAAAATGAAATTAGGTTTCAATTTGAACTTGAGCAGAACAAATGGTAAAACCAAATTGAGAGTGTCTAATTTGACCAAAATTACCTCGTTTCAATCAACCTGGTCACAATGGGTCTACTGTAGGTAAACAGAAGTTTTTGAATGGACTTTTAGTACTTGGTTGCAATGAGAAAATAATGACTACCGGTAGATTTCTTGGCCATAACTACATAATACCATATTTGTCCAATACCCCACCCTGGGCTATCTTTTGGTGGATCTTTTGTTTAGCCCAAATACAACAGTCATGAAGAGGGTTGCAAGATATCAAGAATATTACAGTCAGTATTCTAATTTAGGCAGCAGGCGAAAATGAAAGGCTTCAATTTGTTGTAAAATATGTGTCATAAAGTGGAAATTTTACAGTCCAAAAAAAAAAAAATTAGCAACATTTTTTTTCATGATAACAAAAAATACTCATTGATTTTAAATAATATACATTGATTTTAATATCATTCAATGAAAGCGTAAATAGTACTCTAATTCAGGTGCCAGGAAAGATTAAAATGTTCTAAGGATGTCTCTCAAGTTAAAATACTTGCTGCACATTTCTGAAACTTTGATCTCCGCTAAATATTTTCTGTGACTCAGAAATAGATTGACAGCGTTTTCTGCAAAGATTGCTCAACTGCTAAAAAATCGTCTATGGCCAGGTTTCGGATGGGCGATGTATCCTCGATATCCTCCTATCCATGTTGCTAAGACGGGCACCACTGTACATGCATTTCTATGGGCTCTGGGCGCGCTGCTGTGGAACGCCGGTCGAGCCGGTGAAAATTCGAGAAAACAACACAAACGCAACTTTGAAGTAATCCTGAAGTAATCAACCAAATTTATATATGTTACACACGTAGGGCTAATCTTGTTATACTGTTCAGGGGAGTCTTCAACCACCATCCCAAAGTACCGTTTTCTGTGGAGTTTTTGGACTTTGTTTTCACCGCGAGGGTTGCCAGGCGGTAGAAAATGCCTGGATGTCCGCCCCGAGGATTGGATAAGTACGATAGTTCAGAATCTGGGCTTTAGGGGGACAAAGTGATGATATTTTAAGTCTCTACTCCCACAGTATAAGAGCTTTATCCTTGCCCTTTTCTTAAGTGGAAGACTCCAGCCAATTGATACACTTGTAACAACATGTTTGTGCCAATTAAAAACCGTGTCATTAAGAGCAAAAATGTAACACTAATTAATTCCTGATTTCATACGTGAAATGTGACAAAATGTTTATAGTGAAGCTAAGAAAGCTCTAAACGTTCTCCTAATTACGAGATCATTGCATAATTTGGAAAACCGGTGTAACTCTCGGTAGAAATCCATATACTGTGAATTATGCATAACGCCTGCTTTAAAGTCATACTAGGGAGAGATTACATGAGATTAAATCGTTGTTGTTAGGGTGAGACATAGTGCACATATGTGAGCATAGCAGAAAATACCATGGCTGCAAACTGAAATAAACTATTGTCATTAAGAAATCATGCATAACATTCCATTTTTCCGCCAGCTAAAATAGATTTGATATTATTATCCTGAGCAGTGACTCAAAGTTAACACCGTAGAATAGTTGTTGAGGACAGCTATGTACCCTGTCCCTCACCACACCATTAATCCTACCTCCTCTTTAAAATGAACTGTTCCCCGATGAGCGTAAGCTTTGGCTGATGGAACAAGCGTAATGGCAGTAGTTAGATCAGCCAGCGCTTCGTTAGTTCGACCAAGAGACATGTAAATCTGAAATCAATTAAAAAGAAAACATGTTTGAAATTTTATTCAAGCCATTCCATGAATTCAAACATTTGAAATTGCACAGTGTCATTCACATCCTCCTAAGTGTAGGTAATACTGTAAGTCAAAAAATTTTCGTTGCTACGAATTTTTGAAATTTTATGATGATTGATGTATTTTGCAAAAGTCACTGATAGTTCACGTCGTAGGACATTTTCACTGCTACAAAATTCCATGATTTTCACTGGTCGCCAAATTTGTGAAAGGTTGTCGCTCACGAATATAAAACGGCTGACAGTATTCAAAATCAAGTTATTCTTCCCAAGAAGCATTGCATGTTTTTCTTGATTACAAGTGTTACAATGTGAAAAAACGGCAAACTAAGAATGAAAAACAATTAAGTGAGACTGAGAACGCCAAATATTGGTTCAGAAGGTATTGTCATTTATAATGATTTATGTCAAAAAAAAGAGAATAAATTTAAAGCTGATTTGCTTAATGAAAAATTGTTTTTGAAACAATCTTAAAGGGCGGTGGTCCTGCTCGATATAGGACTGATAGCGACGTATACAACGCGTGAAAAATACATTGTTTATTTACATGAAATTCGAACATACGCTGCGCGACGACCACCGCGCTTTAACTTTGGATCATTAGTCAGACAAAAAAAAAAACATTTTAGCATGCAAGATTAATTATGCGGAGCAAATTGAAAATCAGAAAATGGTCACAGCATAAGTGTTGTGGAAAGTGTTTCTAAAATTGATAAACAATTAATAAGTTATTAACTCTTTGAACCCTGAAGTCAACTTTCTTCACCTTTCAGAAAATATACCTGCATATATTTTTGTCATAGTTATTCAACAATTTTGATCAAAACCTGTAGCCAATGAAATCATGTCGAGTTTGCTCATAATCAGAGAAATATAAACAATTTCATATTTATGAAAAAAAGAAAAATGTGGCACAAAAACGTTGGAAGGAAAAGTGATTATTTTTTTTTACAGCTATAAGGCATGGTATTTCTGCCATACAAACTTGGGTTATACCAAAGATTAACAATGATGGGGTGGAAAGCATAGGCTACCATTGAAACATCCACAAGTCATCAGGATTAAATGAAGAAAAGATTAAAGTCTCACCTCAGCTCTTCGTTCCCAGCCTTCAGGAGCATTGGGTTGCAGTTGTATTGCTTTACTTAAGTCCGCTATGGCTGAATCTGCGCTCTGCAAATAACAGAATAATTTCGCATAATTTGTTATGATCATGCTCAATTAGTTATAGCGATAATTCTATATACTCTCACAATATTTTCTCTTGGGTTGACATAAGTAATTACCGCTAGAGTTTGTATCAAGCCATGCCATAGACGAGGAATTATTGTGGGATTATATATTTATTGCATGCAAATTTCTACAATACGACATAGTGAAAGTATTGACAGTGGAACAAATGCCAAATACAAAAATATCATTGCATGCGCCTCATATCCTAATTTTGTTGACACCATATGCTATGTTTACAGGACAGCATTTTATTGGAGCCCTACGGCTCGAGCCAGCAAAAATGTCCATACATACACGTTCGGTTCCAACAAAGCCTTGGGGTTGAACTCCAATAGGATTGGGCCCCGACATGGCTCCAACTGTGTATACGCATTGGGGCCCAACTATCGAGCTGAAATCACGTCCTCAATCATCTTCCTAAAGAAACCTCTCATTTCAATTATGGCAGAGACAATTTCTGACTTGAAGAAGAGGTACGCACCCTAATATCTATTTGGCAGAGTAAAGAAATTGGCGTACGAAATTATGCGTCAAAAACTTGAAAGGACGACTAAACAATGAAAATTGAAAATAAAAATTGTAGAAGGGGTCATGGTACGGCAACATGTTCCTACTTAGTTTAGGTTGACAACTGTTACACATATCACAACAGTTGAATGATTACAAGATGGTAATTTTACATGACACTAACTTAAGCGAATAGGCTGTAACACATTTAGCATATTTTAGCTGCCGTGTATCCTGATTTTTCGAGACACCTCGAGCCATGTAAAGAAACAACAACACAAACACAACACCAAAATCATTTTCACCCATGTTGTTATCATATTAAGTATTTGACAATGCTATTCGGCTCTGATCGAATTAAACTCGTTCGGCCTGACCATGTAAACGCATTAAGTGATGCTAATCAATGGGGGGAGCCATGTAAATGAAGCAATTTTGTTCTATTTCACACAAAACCCTTACGTATGCTGTTCGATGATACTGCTCATTTGTGATATTTATTCAAAGTCGTTAGGATTATTTAAAATTTCAACCAATTTTTTGGGAGGACTGAATAATTCTGAAATACACATGTGAGCTTGCCAAAATGAACCATCTATAACACAATCCAGAGTTATCTGACCACTGTATATAACGTCATACTGTGGTGATATGCATGTTATAAATGTGATAATAAAAATTGACATGGCTTTGAATGAGTACATCTAATGTCAACTTGAAAAAACAAACATTTAATGCAAAAGATCAAAAAGGTAGGTAGCACACGCCCACAACTGTTGATTCAACTTTTTAAGAGAGAAGTCTTGACCAAAATTATTCAGTGGGATGAGTTTCGAAAAAATAACCAAGGTAGTAGCTGAAAGACATAAACTGTTAATAAAAGAAGTGTTTCACAGTAAATTAGCCATGTCTTAGCACCGTGCCTCTTACCACTGTGTCTCTTAGCACTGAAAACCAGAGTGGGTGGAGAAAACTCCCTTGCTACATCTTATACTGGAAAGAATGCTGGAAATGCACAGTTGCTAAGCAACTCACAACAAGTTCTGTTCCTGTCATTGTAAATTTGAGTGCGCTTGACAGGTTGTACAGAACATTGTTGTGAAGTCTCAAAATACATATATTACTGATTCAAACTTACCTTCCTGATACCAAATAGGGTCAAGGACATACAGACAATGCATATGCAAACAATTACAGGTAATGTTTGGTTGACCAAAAATTCATTTTCCAGAAATTTGTATTTATCATATAAATAAACACCTTATTTTCATTTGCGCACAGCTTCTAAGCTTGGACTAATATGTTAAAAACGTAAACCTGTGTTAAGAAAACACTAAGTATTAAAGTAAGGCAAAATGTGAAACTTTTTTTTCAGACCTGATCTAGGCCCTTAGTACATACATGTGCACGAATACTTTAACTCAGACTAAGCATCCAAAACACCATTGTATTGAGTGTCCATTTGGAAGATTTACTATTATCGGTATATTTATAACTATTCACTTGAGTATGCCGACATGACAATCCAGACATTGGAAAATGATGACGATGAGGCTCTGTACTACCGGTACTCCCCATTATTCCATTATCTGTGCTTTCTGAATTTGTTTTGGTATTGTTTTATAACCGTAGAACTAACATGTACATATTCCTGGTTACTGTACTGAGTAATCATAGTTAAAATGACTGAATATTTGTGTATATTCTTAACAAGTTTGGGCTAACCACTGTTTCCTCTGGTGTGTGAGCACAATAGACCATTTTCCATTCACTGCGAGAAATGCGCATTATGTGTGAAATCGAACGTAAAAACAGGACAAACAAAGGTCATAGCGTCGTAGTGCCGTCAAACATCGCATGAGATTCGACAAACGCGAAATTATTTGGGGGACCTTTCCATGCTGTCCACATTTGATGATAGGCAATTTTGATGAAAAAAGGGTATTCAAAAGCAATATTCCTCTGTCAAAGATCGGCCGGTCGGTGTGAGCTACGAAATAAAGAAATTCTAGTTCAAAATCAAATCGTTTGATTTTTGCGGCAGACGTTTGATGTGCGTCTTTCATGCATCTCGAGAGATCTCGCAATTGTACGGAAAATCGCCTATTGGGTCTAGCCGATGTGCAAATATATGAGATTAGCCTAAATCTTAATAAATAAGAAAGAAAGTAACAATCCTTGGTGACAAATGTCAATACAACATGACATAATCCGTAACTTGGTAAACAAAATTTGATTTAATAATCATTCAGAGGAAAGCATGGCATAATTGGAAACATGCAGTTTTGATCGATAACTAACCTGAAAACCTTTTTTGGCGTAGGCCGCACCCCTCACGTGATAAGCACCAATGATATTAGGATTGTCTTTTAGAAGACTTGTTAACTGCTCAATACAACCGTCATAGTTTTTGGTGTTTAGTAATACAATACTGTAAGCTGAAATAAAGAGAGAAATTACCCATAGTGCAGTAATAATACTGTATAATGTTACAGCTTTCACAAACACCATTACTTCTGTCATCCACAGTATATTGTTGTAAAGATACAATTTAATCAAATTCATTAAAGCGCGGTAGTCGTCAAATACAAACTGAGACGTTTCCAAGCTTTAATTAGGTAATTTTCATGTTATTGGAAGGTATCGAAGAAGTCAACGGCGGTAATCAGTGCAAGTCGTGCCCAGGTCAAACCTCATACTTGTGATTTCCATTAGAGGAGCACATTGGATTGTGGGAAAATCAATGTTTATCAACACAAATGTGGCACATGCGTCGACTACCGCACTTTAATATTACATAATTGACCAAAAGCTACAATGGTAATTTGAATAACTTGTGCCAATAACCATGCCATTCGCTATAATTATATTGAATTTCAACAATGAACCAAAAAATGTGTAGCGAATCTGTTATCGATAACATGTCTGTAGTTATTTATTATCAGCTAGAAAACATAGGGAGATAAAACCAAGATACTGCTATCTAGACTACAATACGAACATCATGTGCAATTCTCAGGTTTTCAAGAGTCAGAATAACCAAAAAAGCACAATACCGGTAGCAAAATTGACCATCAAGCAATCCCATAGACAAACATTGGTATGGCATAAGTACTACCATATTCATCTTTATCATTCAAATAATGTATCCGGTTGAATCACAGATCAATGTTTAACTCTTTTTTGCCAGTTGCTATGGTAATGACAATTTTGATACAGTGGGACTAAGCTAACCAAATTATGGTAGTCATCATTTCAATTCCCAGTCCTGAATGAACTGAATCCCAATTTCAAAGATAAGCATTCCATCGATACTGAATATTAGTTTGTCAAAATATGAATTTGCTTTTCGTTGGACCACTCAGAAAACATTTCCAACAGGTTAACATTTTGAAGAAAGAAAGAAAGCAATCAGATATGCATGTCCACCTGTTGTATGAACTTTGACAAAAACTAGACAACAAAACCACGATCTGGTTGTCTGAGAGTCCAACCTTGATTAAATGACAGCAGTGATCCACACAAAATTGCTGTATTTACAATGTGTGTATTATTATAATAAATAAATTATTTTTTTTTATCAAAATTTAAAATACATACAAATAACATGTACATGTTAAATGACATCAACCTAAATAATAATTAAAATATAACTTATAAGAAATTATACATGATTAATGTTTTAATATTAAGTTGAGAACTAATAAAAACTACACTATGATGCCTCTCATAACTGAACCATATTTTTTTAATATACATGTGTAGTCAGATGGTTTGTAACATCACCATCCTGCCATGGATTATGATAATTGTATTATACCAGTAATTTCTGCATACCAGTCGTTATATTTTAATACGACAGAGTTCAATAAAAGTATGTATCCTGCCAAATTTTGAAAAAATGCATTCTCACATTTTATAACGTTGATTTCGAACCAATGGGTGCAGTACCACATGGAGATTACCCATATAATTAACATTAACATAGCAAGGATAAATAAATTAAAAAAAACAGCCAGTTAAAAATTAAAAGCTAAAATATCACTCATGCCTTAACAATTATACATGTTTCTTATAAAACATGTAAATATAGGTGAATTTAATTGTTGTTTGTTTACAAAACAATTTTGTAACTGCACATATAAATAGAATATAGTATTAAGCATTATTGTACTAAAAAAAAAAAAAAAAAAAACTCTAATAATAGCACAAATATTGACGCAAAAATAAATACTTCACTTTTTCACAATTTTTCTCCAAATTTCAAACTCACAAAAGAACGTCACAAGTCAGAGTTTTAGAGAAAACTATGATAATCACATACAAATATAAATATGATATAAATAAAAAAGAATAAAATATTTACCCATTTTTTGGTCAATTTTTTTATCTCCTGTAGCAAACGGTACCATGTTTCGCTCAACAATCGATGACGCGTACTTCTGCTCAGCGGTGATTCCATTATGCGATAAACAGACAAAGGATGTCAGAGATGCGTGAAAACAGGTCAGAAAACAGAAAAAGGGAAGCGATTTCACCATGATGCTCTCAGCAGTTCAATACATGTAAAAGAGACTGTGTCAAAATGAGCAGAGATTACTGTAGAATGGGATTATGTTTATAAATCTGATACCAGCTGAAAGTGTGTGTACTGGCAATGTGGTGAGAATTGACAAGGGGAATGATCGGCGCAGACAACCACAGCAGTGAACAAAGTTTGTATTTGTTAGTATCTCTTTTTTATAATAATTGGCTCTATGTACATGTTGAAACAAACATCTAACAGGAAATAAAAATTTAAAAATATCAAATTTGTCATTAAACACGACATGAACTGACATGATTCATGAATAATAATTTCTTATTAAACACTAAAATTTTATTCAAGGCAAACACACTACTTAGTTTTTACCTGCCAAGAATGTTTTTGACAATGCTTAGGTTGGTCTTATTTCGACATGAAACATATCAAAAGTAAATCAGAGTGAATATCAATGAATAGATGTTGTGTCGCATGTTTGTGTTACATAAGTCTATGGGACGAACCATAGCTCTTCTGTGTCGATACAAAATGTAATATTTGAAAATAACAAATTTAAAGACACAAAATATATCAGAAATGATTAAAATACCATCACAAAGACTAAAGACTGACACAAGAAGAGCTATAAACCCACAACTATAAATAGACAAGTCAGAATGAATTTGACAAAATTTAAAGATATGCCCTTTTAGTCCTGAAATTTTAACATTTTGGAGATTTTTTGTTTCAAATGTTGATAAATAACTTATTTCTACATGTTCAAACTTATTCAATTGATTATTGAACAAGTCGTGGCATGTCATAGTCCCTGTCTGTTTTAAATGTATGATTCAGCATTCATTAAAACAAAATAGCCACCAGTCAACCATTTTAAATCAGAACTGAAAACAAAATAGTACAGTGGCTGTGGGTATCGAGATCCAAGCAAAAACCGAGACATATCGGGGATCATGACTTACCGAGGGGCCTCATGAAAGGGGGGTTTATGCATTGAAAATGGATAAAAAGTACATATGCACACATGGATTTATTTATAGTACGGTTTCTTTATTGAAAAACATTACAACGTCCATGTCTGCAGATCGAGCTTCGCCTTGGATCGAGACTCTGCATATACCGGTAGCGTGTCTTTTTTGCCAATGCCATACCTATCCCAAACTTGCCCCGAAGGACCAGAGAGTAGAACAAAAATCGGCTGCTACAATCAGCCGAAGTCTTCTCGGTCAGAGGTCAGTTGAAGAGACGTTGTGATTGGCCCAGATGATTGTCAATTAGAACATTCATTAACATAATTGCTTGTTGAATAAATGAACGGGTTCCTGCAGTGTCGATAAAGGGCATTGCAGAATAAACCAGTCGTGGTGATTTCGCGCTAGCACCTCCATTTCGCGATTTTTTTTATTTTATTTCAACTACAAAATCAAATTAATCGCCCAGACTGCGCCAGTCTAACATACGACCAGACTGGATAGCTTTCACTTAGACATGCTGGTCACTAGCAGTTGAGAACTAGAGATCAGAGTGGTGGATTCAAGTCATTGTAGCCAGTTTTATAGAGCTTTATCAAAGAGGACCGGTTGAGAAGTACGTAAAGTTACGACCTGACACCCCATCAACACCTTGAGTCAGGCCACCGTCACCCTTTGTATCTCAGTAATTGACAGACAGTAGATGTAAAATTGTCTTCTTCCGTCTTTTATTGGCCAATTAAATACACAATGCAACAAAACATTAGTTCTTTTACTAAAACTGCCGGCAAAACACAAAAGAATTTTTAGAACTACCTGCAACTTACTGTAAAATACTTTATTTTAGCTGGAATTAATTTTCGCTGAAAAGGCTTTTTGGGTGTTTTGTATGGAATTTATTTTCACTGATTTTTGATGAGTTGAATGTAAAATATAGAGAAAAAAGTATATTCGCTGGATTCACTGAATCATCGTTTTAGCGAAAATAAATTCCAAGCGGAAATAAAGTATTTTACAGTAGCCGGAATCACGACTTACTGAGATGTGCCTTAGCACGGGGTCAATGTATGTACTGTAAGTTTGATCAAAATATGTACGCGAACAGGATCTGGTTCTGGTTCTGGAATGACAGACATGCTTGATTTTGATGAATGTTTAGCACTAAATGGTTGCATTTGACCATATTGAAACGGCGCACAAAACTAATAAACATGCATATATTCCAAGACGTATGAAGTACTGGCAAGATGTATTTATGAAGTTTGAATGTGATCTGTCCATGTTGTATGACATACAAGTGTTGACACATGCATACACGCACAAATTCACACAAGTGAAAATATCAGGCCATGATTTCAACAGGGACGAATAATCTGTGTATGTAGCTATGATTCTCTTGCCGGCATTACAGTACCAGGAATTAATGTCAGGGACAACCAGAAATTCAGGAGAGCAATATATGTGAACTTAATTGTTTTAATAGTTTGTTAACAAATTACTATTTTTTTACCACATATTATATAGTGAAAAAATAAAATTAATTTCACAGAAAAATAGATGACTAGGTAACAAGATACAAAAGTTGTAGCATCAAGAAATTTATTTTGTGGAACTACTACTCTTATAGTTAATAGTTAATAACAATACTTTAATAGGTTTTAAAATATTTCAAAATATGGTAAAATTATGGCAGTTTTATAATATCATAAATCATCATTGAAAGGCGCCCTCTATCAGAAAAATTGGAGCATACAACAAATAGATAGTTCTGTAAAATTTATAAAATTGTATTATGATATTCTGAGTCACTAGAAGTTGATTTAAGTTGTGGTCAGTAGAGGTCCAGAGGTCAGTGGCAGTTACTAGGTGGACAGAAGAAGTGGAATTTATGTGTGACGTTTTTGGGACTAATTTATTGCATGCGTCAGAATACATACGTTTGCAATGATGTTATATGTCACCTGATCACCCAAATGTATTGATATGTGAAAAGTATTGATAGTGCTTTAGGGTAACTGAAAAATGGTAGAATAAACAAGTTAAACTTCAAAGCTCTCTGGTTTCTTTGATGTTTTGTGTTTTCCCCCAGTCAACACATCACACTATGACAGTTTAGTAATTGTGGCAATGGTCACTGGAAGGACATATCCTGTAAGAGGAAACGTATTTGCGTAATGCATGGATATGTGTAATTGATGATGTGGGTGTACAGGAAATCAAAGCTGAAACATGAAGTTGCTGTCACTATTACCAGAATATATTTTTGCATTATTTGGTTATTGTACATGTGATTGAATTGAGAATGACAAAGTTTGACAATTTGACAAAGTGACATGTGATAGTGAGATGACCTTGATCTTTCCTTGAAAGATCTTGATGGAGGGGTGACCTCCTGACCCCCAATACACATGCAATCAACATGTGACCTTGAGATAACCCTGACTTGGAGGCTTGAAATGACCCTGACCCGACCTTGAAGATTTTGGAGAGGTGTTTTAGTTCCTCTCACCCTCACTGTTCAGTATCACTCATATAAAAGCAGCAAACATATAAATCTTGAAATGACCTTGACCTGAACTTGAGCATTTCTGGAAAACATTGGCCCATCTAGTTCATTTTCCAAGACAATGTGTAGCCTAGCTTCCAATTGATACAGTTTTCTACTGGAGTCCATGCATTATACATAGCCCATATATAACGTATGGCAAAGTGAAAAAATCCACACACAAAAATAACAACACAAAAATCATAAAATGGAGATATCTTCACCAAATGAACAAACTTGGGAGAGAACCAGCCCATGTGTCTACATTATAAATGTTAAAGCAATGTGGCAGGCGGTTTCAGAGAAGAAGTCAAAAATGCGCAAAAATTAGCAAAAAAATATAATGCACTAGAAATGGACACTTGCATATGGTGCCATGAAAATAATAAGTCTGAGTATAATCCATGTCAACAACATTCATGTCAAATTGCTAAGCAATCTGACAGAAATTGTGCGATATACCGGTAATATCCGACAATGATGACATGGACAAAGCTGTTTATGTATGGTTTTTTCAAGAGAGTCTGCGGGAACTCCAAAGTTTGGGCGGGATCTCCACGCATCATCCAATGCACAGCATGCATCCTCGCCAAGCAACTCAAGAGTTGACGACGCCGAGGCCAGTTCGGGATAGTTCTGGCATTTGCAAACAAGCAGCCCTCTCGGCTGAGATAGCTCCGCTGTTAGCAATGCACATTTCAATTAAAGAACAGAAGATATCATTAGAAAATGAACAATATGCATAGTATCAATGCAATGGGACTTGCTGTTTTCAACAAGAGTTCAAAAATATCATTTTTCACCATAAATGATTGTGATTTTTAACAAGAAGAAAATATCACTTTTTACCAAAAAATGACAAAAATATTCATCAAAATTAGAAAATTGAAGATATCATCATGAAATGAACAAATTTGAGAGTGGTCCACATGTAGTACCTATATATGTAATATCAAAGCAATTGGACTTGCGTTTTTTAACAAGAAGTTGAAAATATCACTTTTTACCAAAAATGACAAAAATATTCACCAAAATTAGAGAATTAAAGATATCATTACAAAATGAACAAATCTGAGAGAGGTCCACATGTAGTACCTATATATGTAATATCAAAGCAATTGGACTTGCGGTTTTTAACAAGAAGTCAAAAATATCACTTTTTACCAAAAATAACAAAAATATTCACCAAAATTAGAGAATTGAAGATATGATTATGAAATGAACAAATCTGAGAGAGGTCTACCCAAGGTACATATACACCAAGCATCAAAACATTCAGGCTTGTAGTTTTCAAGAAGAAGTCGAAAAATTAAAACATTGACACGGACGCCAGACGGCGACAGACGACGGACAATCACTCATATGATAAGCTCCACTCGACAAAGTCGACAGCGGAGCTAAAAAGACACGCTATACATGAAGTGTTGATCTAAGGCAAAGCTTTATCTGCGGACATGGATGCTGTGATGTTTTTCAATAAAGAAATCATACTATAAATAAACCTGTGTGTGGATAAGTACTTTTATCCATTTTCAACACATAAATCCCACTTTCAAGTGGCCCGCGGTAATTAGCGACCCACAACTTAGTGAGTGGTCACTGTACTTTGAATGCAATTGCACCTTGATGTCTTTCATTTTTCTTTCAGTTTTGATTTAAAGTATTTTACAGTAATACATTTTCTGGTTAAAGTTCGATGTATATGTGTATTGGCAACACAGTGCCAAAAAAGAAAATAGCTACCACCTTCAAACTTTGAACACATGAGACTCGCATATAATTTTTAGAACAAAGGTCAAGATCACAATATGCATGTTTGCAATACATCTCTTAAAGCAAATCACCTCATGTGACTCACAAGACCTGGTTAGACTTCAAGGTCAAAGAGCAATGTCACAAGATTTCACCACAGTCCTTCTATCACAGAGGGACTGCGATTTCACCAAACATGTTTCTGGCCATAACTATGCAACCATAAACTGTGACTCTAAATGTTGATCTGGATATTGAAGAATTGCAGTCTAGTTTCTTAATATAAATCTCGCAATGGTGGCAATATATCATCTACAGTGGCACACTGAGCAATGTGTATTGGTTAGTTAAGATGACATAAAATACTCACTTGTAGCAGACCAGGTTCCAGACTGGTCTGACTGGTACACGTGTCCTCACTTGAGTTGAGACTAACATCATTGGAACACATACCTGGTATTGGTACATCTAATTCATGATCTGTAAAATGAAAAAACCTTGTCCTTTAACACTACACATATGAATGTAATCATGCTTGACAACAAACTT